TTTACTTCTCACCCTATACATGCAAGACTGTAGAGAGAACAGTAGAAATGTGATGGAGAAGGAGTGGCATTAATCTCATCTCTTTGACACAGTCACCAAAAAAGCCACCTTGACACAAGTGGGGAAGAACTCTGGCCCTTTAAAAAAAGCTGTAATAAGCTATTTTCCACTAGATAAGACAAGCAAAACTCAACAAACATTAAGAAAAAAAAAAACCCACCCAAACCAACAAAAATGACCAAACCCAAAAACAAAACCAAAAACCCAACGGCATGGCTAACACTAGAGAAATTAAGGGTCCTATTTATTTTTGGAACACTTTCCCTAACTGGAATAGGACTGATTTCCAGCCCAGACTGGCAAGAAAGGGCTCAGGACATTTGCTTACACCTGAAGTTCCCCACAGTAATCATGCAGTGTAGACACTGTCTAACACATGTGGGCTGCAGATAGCAGAATATCTACCAGTGAGAAGAGACTGAGAAGACTCTGCCTTACATGTCCATGATTAAGTAAGAAAAACTAAGCTTAATGTCCAGAACCTTTCCCCAGTGCCTCATTCTAGACTGTGCTGGGATTAAAACTGTCTAGCCTATGCCAATCGCTTACAGCTGGGCTCATTTCTCCCACAGAAGAACAAGGTAGGGGTTGGAGGACCGTTAATGATTTCTCCTTATCTTAAATATCAGTCAGTCAGTCAGTCCATTACAGGTGAGGGCATTCCTAAGAACCAGCCCAAGTCACAGTTGTATGGGGCCAAGAAGGATGGAAGAGATGGAAGGGGATTATATCAGCAGTAGGGAAGGGCCTGGAAGCTATATTCAGAGGCCTGTTGGAACATAGTAAGGCCAGCCCTAGCAACATCAAAGGCTACAGCAAGGAGTTAGTTTATACAGTTTAGTTGGATTAGACCCCTCATTAGGATGCAGAACAAACCTCCTCTTCTTGGCAAACAGGAGCAAGCAACAGAATAAAAATGGTAATCAGATCTGAGCCCTGAATTCACTATTCAGCACGAGTTCCTCTTATTTGCGTAGGAACTCTAGTTTGCCTGGCTTTGTTTGAAATAAAGGTAACAGGAAATTTCAGGGCAGGATGAGGTCAAGGTCTCTTGCTTTGGGGCCAGCAAGCCCTGGGAGGACTCTTGAGACAGAACACCCCGTCCTAGGAGGAGGACAATCAGAGGGGGAGAGCATTTGCTATGGGGTACCAGCAGTAATGTCTCTCTACTGCTGCATCTTCAGCAGGCAAAGTCAACCCTGAGACTTTGGGAAAGACCTTTCTTAGTTTGAGCTGAACAAGTAGCTGACACGCTGTACAGAGTTGTTGATAGTCCGATATATGAGCGGATGCTTTTTAGCATGCAGAGCACCAGGATGAGGCCACTAGTCAGCTTGTTACTTTTTCCCTAATGTGCATCTTTTGAGGAAGTTGCTGCTCTCTTTTAGGGTATTGCAGACTAAGAGAACAAGATGATCTGGTTTTGGACATGGTTTGTTTGGGGTTTTTTTGTTTGGGGTCTGGGTTTGGTTTGGTTTTAATGCCTCTGATCACAGTATTATTTGCATTAAAATCCACAGAGGTCAGGCAGAAAAGCTTGAGTTTGACCTCAACCATGCCAGCATGGTTAAGGGGTTCCTGGGAGGGGTATGCAGGTATACTTCAAATTCAGTTTAAGAACAGAAAGAAACCCAAGTATTGAAAATAGGAATTACTTTACTTACTGTATCATCATAACAAAGCATGATAATGCTTTGCTGGTCTCTAGAACTTGTCTTTATTGTATTTTAGGGCAGAGGAAAAAAGGAAAGATCTCACACTATTGTTTAGCATTTGTTTTACGATTTCATATATTTTTTTTTTCCAAAACAATCTGTGGAGTGAAATCAGACATATTTAGATAAAGTATGTCTTGCCCTGAAACAGGACTGATTGAAGTATTAACAGTTGTTAGAAAGATGCATGCCTGCATTTCACTTCATGCTGTTGAAGCCTTTGAATTAACCCCTGAAAACTATAAAAAGACGATTTCCTGGTTGCCACAGCAGAAAAGAAACTGCTAGTTATGAGCAACCTGTGCCTTAACTTATGTTATTAATATTGCAAATTGTAAATGACAGAGCAATTAGGGTTGAATATTACCCCAGGAAAGCAGCTTGACCAATGTTGATCATCCTGTAAAACAGATGGAATTTAATTTAACAGAGGGAAAAATAGGTTCCTTGTGGTTTATCTCATTAAGTTGATTTCCATAATTCCAACAGTGATTCCCACATCTTTAAAACTAAACTTGATAACAGACAAAAAGACACAGCTGCATTGGGATGGTGAGGGACTTTTAGAAGATTTCTGATTCTGTCATGAAATGTCCATTGCTGAATTTGTTTAATATGGTGTTAATTTATTCCTCAGTGAGATAATCCCACAGTCTTCCTTCTTCTGAAGCATGTCCCTTGGATTTCTTTAAAACCCTTGTTATCTTCCTAGGTACCTTCTGTTGCACCACCTGAAATCTTCTATGTGCACTTAACATTAAGGGACTCTAATTTTCTTCTCCCTTATACCTGTTTTTCATCAACGTAAATCCATTGTCTTTAATGGGATTGCACCTGACTTGCTCCAAGAAAACCAGGCTGAAAAGATCAGCCTCGTATTATCCAAAGTCATATTCAATATTCCAAAAGAGACCATTTTAATGATTGTTTTCTGCAGAGATAAATTTATTTCCCCTGGCTTAACCTCACAAGACAGCACTGTTGCTGCAACAGAAAGGTTGCAGGTTTCTAAGGTTTCTAACGGACAGAAAGGTTTCTAACGGACAGAAAGATTCTGAGCATGACATGATCTCCCTTTAACATTTAAACTGCAATGATGTTCAGGAAACTACATGACTAAATTTTTAGGAATTACAGCCACAGATATTTTCTGCAGTTCTTCCTTGTGCTCTTAAAAAACAAATTGAACTTTAATTTTCTGCCTTTTTCCCTGAGTACTCTAGAAAATACTTGGGATACATTTTGGCAAAAATTAAGGAAGTATGTTAAGAAAAAACTTCTTTGAATTCAGATATAACAGTGATTTGCCATGATGTTTTCCCACTATGAGATTTACTAGTCACATAAAAGAAAAAACGTCAACCTTTATCTATGTTATGGAGGGCAGCAATATAGGTGCTGAAACAAAAATATTCCCTAGCATAAGCAAAAGGCAAGCATACAGCCACAAAGAACATAAAGTACTAATATTTTATCCACCTAAACTGTTCCCATATGGAAATACAGGGTTCCTGGCAAGTTAAAAATCTTACTGTGTATTTCTTTTAAGTGTCTCCTTCTTTTTATTCTGTTACTACCTACAACCTTCATTGTTTACAATAAGACAGAAGTCTCATCCTATTGTTTTTTAACTACCTTCTGTGTTGTTTGCTCTGTGTGTTGCACGGGTGAAATTTCTACACTGGAATTACAAATGAAAACCAGTAAAAGAATGTGAGTTCATTTCTTGCCTCGACTGTAGTGTAGAGCCTGCCAAAACTCCGGTTGAGGTTTGCTGGAAATTTAATTTAGTTGAAATGTAGGTTGGTTGTGAACCAGACAGGAATTTTTTCCCTTTTTTTAACTCTCTCCTAAAGACAGGAACGGAACTAATCTCACTGAGCAGTTGCAAAGAGCTCTGGACTTTCCAGTCCCTAAATGACTTGCTAAAAAACTACTCACAGGAAAGAGGCTGTTAGCAGAAGAGCCAGCCACATTAGCAGTGAGGTCAGGAACCCTCCGTTTTCAGCAACCCCTTCCCTACAGAAAACATACCAGGAATCTGTGCAATCTGGCAGAATGTGTCAAGCTGTTCAGAACCAAAACTTGTTCAGGCTTACAGAAAATGTAAAACTACCTCTCCTCAGGTCTGCTGGGAGAAAAGCCAAGTGTTATGAGCTACTTCTGGATCTGTAGAAGTGAAAAGGTGTTTTATCTAAAAATGATCCATGCAAGGTGGTACCATGTCACTATGATTTAACTCCCCTGATGAAGTAAAAGCAATTCTAGGAGAGAAATCCACTCCAGACAATGGCATGTGTGGGGAAAAGATTTTGAAGTAGTGAGGTCTGCTGGATATTGGCTGCTCTGACATAGAACTAAAAACTCTGGAAGCAGTCAAGGCATTGTGTGCCTTGCAGCCAGAGTAATGCCACAGCAAGGCACAGTAAGCCATGCTTTCAGTCTTGGGCCAAATGTGATCCCAAGTGGATTTCAGTAGTGGAGCTCTAGCTCAGTGACTTTAAATATTGCACAATGCTCCTTTCCACTAGTAGAGAGGATATAGCCTTTATCACAGCATATATTGCACAATTCTTACTCCTTCTTGCTCCTTCAAACCCTGTTAGATGAAGACATTTGCTCAACCATGAAGAATTAAATCACTAGAACAGATAATTGATTTCAACTCATTTGAACCCAGTTATTTTGCAATTCTCTTGGCAGGATAAAACTGTAAGTACAACTATATGTACAGTGAGGACCACCAACACAGATATGGACAAAATCTACCTTTTTTCATTTGTTTTGATGCCAAGTCTCTGTCATGCATGCTGTCAGAACTCAAGCTTTCAGGTAGCTGTAAGGGAAGACAAGCTTCCTAGGACTGACTCTGGGTAAAGCATTAAGCACAGGGCTCAGATGGGGTATGTGTTTTTAGAAGAGAACAGCTGATCCACACAATGAAAAATAGCAGGTAGGTATAGCTCTGTCCAATTACAAGATTTCTTGTGTGTTGTTTCCCAGCTCCAATCCTGTTTTACCTTTTTACACATAAAGCTCCACATCTATTCAATGGAAATCTTCATAAACTTCAAGCAACATGTCTTAAAAATACCACAAGAAGCTCAGGGCGTTCTCTGGCACTGTGACTGACCTAACCTAAATATCAATGGCACCCCTCACAATGAATGGCCTGCATCAGTGACAACCCCGGAGACTGGTCATACACACAGTACTTGTACTCACAGTTTTCACAGCGATTCCCTGTGTAGCCAGCCAGACAGGCACATTTGTACGTCCCACTTTTGTCTAGAATGCATGTTCCATCATGAAGACATGGAGATGAAGAGCAAGCTATAAAAGAAAAGCAAGAATGTTCATGCTTTCTCACTGGGTGGGGTCCTATCTATTTTTCCTCATGATGGTTGTGCCTTGGAGTAAATTACATATTCTGATTAAAAGTCAGGAAGACACAGTAAAGGCCCTCATGCACATCAAAAGCAGTTCTTTTCACAGCATTCATCACTTACTCTTACCATTTTCCTCTAGTCAGTAGTCAAATGGTGAGAAAGGTTTGTGGAACAAAAATAATTTACAGCAAGATCCAACAGTGTTTAGAGCTTAGCCTCAACCTACATTTCTTCTGCTATTCATCCCAGAGTTTAGGGATAAGTTCTGGGATCCATGGTTCTAATGGGTTTTTTGAGTCTCAATCTTGTCATCCCAGACTCTGGGAGTTGCTTTGCCCCTGAGGAGCACTTCTTTGGTGTTGGGTTCAGGAAGGTCTCAATGGTCATGATGACCAGAAGTCTGCTGGGGAAGCTCTTCCACACCACAGATCTAGCAGTGATACACATCAAATGGTACCTATTAACATAAATTAATATCAGAACAAGGTCTTCCTGGAGCCTTCTCTTCTCCAGGCTGAACAAGCCCATCTCAGCCTGTCCCCATAGCAGAGGGGCTCCAGCCCTCTGATCATCTTCATGGCCTCCTCTGGACTCAATCCAACTGGTCAATGTTCTTCTGATGTTGAGGGCCCCAGAGCTGGATGCAGCACTGCAGGTGACGTCTTAGAAGAGCAGAGTAGAGGGGGAGAATCACCTCCCTGATACTCAAAAGCACAAAATATTTTACCTTTAAGGGAGTCTTGATTTCCTGGCTTCAGTCAAACAACATTGGACAGTACTACAAAAGGTTAAAGCCCCTGTGTTGTGTCAAAGATCACTAGCTTGGGGGTACAGAAAGTAAAGCATAATTGTAATTCAGTAACAGGTCCTCATCTAACTAGATCCAGCATATGTCTAATCCCTAAGAGAACCTGATGCTTCCCTATCTGGCCCCCCATCCTTCTCATTTGGAGCCTGTTGAGTGAATTCTGGTCACTCATGCTAATTACTGGTTCCCATCTGACACATGACATGAGATGGAACCTCACACCTTTTTCCATACCAGGCACTGCAGCAGGTTGTGTGGTTTCATCCTTTAATAACTACACATGCAATGACCTTTCCTAGAGGGTATATAGGCTTTGCAGCTCAATTTGTATCAATCAAAACCTTTCTGACAGTTGAACCAATGATCTCTGTGCAGCCAGTGCCACTGTTTCAGCAAGCTGTTTCAGCAAGCCAGCATGGACCTCAGACGAAGGGAAGACAGAAAGAGAAAGAATTCAGTCTGACATCACAAGATGCTTCTTCAGTCCCCTGCATTACACCACTAAGGTGCTGGGGACATCAGATAAGGGCTGTGGTCTGGTCCACATGCTGTAAGCACAAGTGGTGCTGTTGCGCTCACCTGCAGCACAAGGAATTGCTGTAGCAAGCCCTGTGCAATCTGCTCTGGGGACCTCAGCTTTTCCAGACTGCTGTGCTCAGAGGGAAATTTCAGGAGAAATGCTTGTTTGCAGTGTGCTGCTAGATCTTTTGATCCTGTGCTGCCACCACCTTCAATTATATGCTGTCCTATACATGCTGTGTTCTTCCCCTAAACTGTCCTGCTGGCCAGGTTAATGCTTTACATAAAAGACACTGGGAGTGTTTTAAAAGCCTTGAACTGAAGCTACACATGAGGCCGGAGCAGCCTCATAATGAAGTGCAAAATAAGATGGCCTCATAAACTCTAAGAAGCCCTTTGCAAGTACTCCGTGTGGATTACCACACTTACAGCCACCCAGCTTCAGAATAATTACCACTAAAACCAGGGTGGAGATAAAGTGCTCAACAGTATTCAAATACCAAGTGTTCCCTGCTGAGCAGAGAAAACAGAATCAATTCAGTTTGCACCATATGGAAAATGTTAGTTCCCTGAGTGTAGGCAGCCCTTACGTAACATAGCCCACACCACATCCATTTCTTCTGTATCACCTCTCCTGCTGGAAGCCCAGGCGAACTATCAATAGCTAACTGCTCCTGCTATGTTACTAACGGGTACGAAAGGTAGCATGTGAAAAACAGAGCAGGCTAAGAAAAGGCATAGGCATGGCATCCAGATGTATGCACATTTCAGATTGCTAGTACCCCTCTGATCATTGTTAACAGCTTGATCCACTGTAGGTTTGTGTATTTATGTAAGGATTATATAAACTAAACTTTCTAGCCAGATATACCCTGGATGACCTCATGAAATGTGGGTCACCAAGGTGTACAGAAGGCAAGTTATGGTGAGTCATAGATTCTGCAGGGTTTACCTAAAAAGGCCAAATGCAAGGTCCTGC